CGACTTGGTCCCTCGAAAACCGGGGGGGGTCACTATCGGTTCGAACCCCCCCCCTGGAAAACCGGCCGGGGGGGGGGGGGCACTACCGGTCCGAACCCCCCCCCCCCCTACCCCCCATCGAAAACCGGAGGGGGGCCACTACTGGTTCGAACCCCTCCCCCCCTCCCCACGCTCACCGCCAGCAAACGACTCCCGGGTCCCTACCACCGTCCGCACCACATCCCCCACTGCTGTCCCCAGCACCACTGTCGTCACCACCACTGTCCCCGCTGTTCCCACCACCGTCCCCGCTGTCCTCACCAGTGCCCCCACCATTGCCACACTGTCCCCACCATCCCCACCACTGATCCCACCACAGTTCCATTCTCCCACTTTCTCCACGGCCCCAACCACTATCCCACTGTCCCCACCGTCCCACTGTCCCACTGTCCCCGCCGCTGTCCCACTGAGCTGCTCCACTATTGGCACCACTGCCCCCACAGTCCCCACCACTGTCCCCACTGTTCCTCTGCCCCATTATCCAACCGCCGTCCTCGCCACCGCCCTCACCACTGTCCCCACCACCACTGTACCCTCCACTGTCCCACTGTTTCCACCACATTCCCACTGTCCCCACACCACTGTTCCCACCACCACCGTCCCCACCACTGTCCCACTGTACCCACTGTTCCCACCATCGTCCCCGCTGTCCCCACCAGTGCCCGCACCAGTGTCTCACTGTCCCCACTCTCCCAGCCATTGTCCCACCCCCGTCCCACTCTCCCCACTTTCCCCACGGTCCCCACCACTGTCCCACTGTCCCCACTGTACCCACCATTGTCCCCGCCGCTGTCCCGCTGTGCTGTCCCACCGTCCCCCACTATCCCAATCAATGTCCCACTGTCCCCATTGTCCCCGTCATTTTCCCCATTGTACTATTGTCCCACCACTGTCCTCACCACTGTCCCCACCACTACCGTCCCCACCACTGCCCCACTATCCCCACCACTGTCCCGCTGTCCCCTCACCACTGTCCCCACCACCCCCGTCCCCACCACTGTCACCACCACTGTCCCACTGCCCCCGCGCCACTGTCCCCACCACCGTTCCCACCACTGTCCCAGCATCTCCACCGTTGTCCAACTGTCCCAAAGAACGGGGATCGTTTGCCAGCGGCGAAGGGGGGGGACGGGGTTCGAACCGGTAGTGACCCCCCCCGGTTTTCGAGGGGGGGGGGGAGGGCTCGAACCAGTAGTGACCCCCCCCCGGTTTTCGAGAGGAGGGGGTCGAACCGGTAGTGACCCCCCCCTTTTCATGATGGACTGTGGAGAGGGGGGAAAGGTTCGAACCAGTAGCGACCCCACCCGCTGTCGAGGGGGGGGGACGGGTTGGGACCCCCCAGTGAGCCCCCCCCAGTTTTCCGCCAGCAGCGGTAGAACACGCTCTTTCCAATATTACGAGGCACCTCATAGAGGCCCTCCAGAAGCAAAAATCGTCCCATTCCCTTGGGGAAACATGCATTTTCACCACATTCGCCCATTCGGCTTCCACGCGGCGCAAAACGGCCCAATCAACTTCCAAGATCGACCCTCGCCAGCCCAAGAGGCTCACAAAGAGGCTCCAAGACGGCGTCCGGGCGATCCACAAAGGCCCCCAAAACCATAGCAACGGCTTAGAAAAGCCGATGGACGGTCCCAAGAAGGCTCCAAAACGAGGCAAGAGGACCCCAAAAAGCTGTCCGGATGGCCCACGCGGGGGACGATTCGGCCCAAACCGCCCAAGATCGCCGCCAGACGGCCCCATTGGTACCCAAGACGCTTGCAAACGCGACCACGCGGTGCTCCAATAAGGCCTCCACAAGCAAAAAACCGTCCCAATCCCTAGGCAAAACGTACATGTTCAGCACATTCGCTTCTTGGGCTTACACGAGGCCCACAACGGCCCAATTAAGCTCCAAGATCGAAACCTGTCACCCGAAGAGGCCCCCAAGAAGGCTCCAAGACGGTTTCCGGGCGATCCACGAAGGCTCCAGAAACCATCGCAACGGCCCACGAAAGCCGCAGGACGGTCCCAAGAGAGCTCCAAAACGGAGCAGAGGGCTCCCAAAGGCTGTCCAAACGGCCCACGCGTGGGACGATTCGGTCCAACCCGCCCACGACTGCCTCCAAACAGCCCCATGGGCGTCCGAGACGTTTGCATACGCGACCACGAGGCGTCCCAAACAGGCCTCCACAAGCAAAAACCGTCCCGTTCCCGAGGGAAATTGCACATGTTCAACATATTCGCTTCTTGGGCTTACACGAGGCCCACAACGGCCCACTAAACCTCCCAAGTCGACATCTGGCACACCAATAGGCTATCCAAAAGGCTCCACGACGGCCTGTGGGCGCCCCACGAAGTCCCCAGAACCATAGCAACGGCCCGGGGGAACGGCAGGACGGTCCCAAATGGGCTCCAAAACGTGTCTAGAGGAGCCTCAAAAGCTGTCCGGACAGGCCACGCGGGGGACGATCGCTGCCGCCCCAAGGGGTCGGCGGTGTGGCGTAAGCGAATGAATCCACTTCCGGACTGCGGCGAAGCGTCTCGGCAGTCCCACAGGATGGGTGTGTGACGCAAGGGCCCAGTCACGATGCGTCAAGGAAGGGCAATTTCCAAACATTACACTAGTATACATTGCAAAGCAACCCCCCTCAATCCGTCCCCAAGGCCGCCGCCGAGTCGCCGACCCTTTCGTGCACGAGTACTAAAACCTACAAAAACCAATGGAAATCATGGATTTGGGCCTCTGGACCCTTCTCGGAGCCCACAAGGGGCGTCAAGACGGCTCAAGATGGCCTCATGGCGGCCCAAGAGAGCCCCAAAACGGCCCCAACACGACGCAAGATGGCTCCAGGAGCGCCCAAAAAAACTCCCAAGACGCCCCAAGAGGGCCCCAAAACGACCCCCAAGAGCGCCTTCCAGAGGCCAGAATCATTGACTTCCAATGGTTTTGGTAAGAGTATGGCGTTCTCGCCTTCCTCGACTCTGAGAAGCCGATGACGGCCCAATCAGTTTCCAAACTGGACCCAAAAAGGACCCAGAGGGCGCCAAGACGGCCCGTGAGGGCCCCAAGACGGCCCAAAAAAGCCCCCAGACGGCCCAAGAGGCCCCTACGATGGCCCAAAAGGACCCCAAGAGAGCCTCGAGGCGGCCGCGGTTGCCCCCGAGACGGTCTCTAAGGGGCGACACGGCGCAAGAGCGTCCAAGCCGCTCCCAAGAGTCCCCAAGAGGCCCCAAAGAGACCCCCAAGGGGGCCCAAGAAGTCCCCAAGAGGCCTCCAGGAAATCCCCAAGAAGCCCCCCAAAGGCCTCAAAGAAGCGCCCAAAAGGCCGCACAACGAATGGAGTGTACTGCTTTTTTCTCCTAAAGATGCCCCCAAGGGGCCCCAATAAGTCCCCAAGAGGCCTCCAGGAAATCCCCAAGAAGCCTCCCAAATGCCTCACAGAAGCGCCCAAAAGGCCGCGCAACGTCTGGATTGAATTGCATTTTTCTCCTGGGCGAACCACGGCGCAGCCCCTGTCACGTGGAAGTTGATCACGGCGGCGCCCGGCGCCCATGAGTAGAGCCGGCGCTGGGAGGGAAGATGGGGCCGCCGCTTCCCTCATCGCCCTCGTCATCCTCCTCATTGTCGTCATCCTCATTTCCATTCACGTCCTTTCCCTCCTGTTCTCCCTCATCGTCCTCGTCGTCCCCTCAGCCCGAGGTTGGAACCTCGACGAGCAAGTCTCGACGTTCCCGCACCTTGGCGGAAATCCTCGCCACGATGGCTGGAGGCAGCGCGCTCATGGTGCATTCTAACTGCGTGAGCGTTCCTAGCCCAGTTCTGGAAATGACGTGCTGAGCGGCAGCGTTTTCTGCGGAGGCGATAATGCAACGTATCTTTTGTATGTAATGCTACATTTTGTGTAGTCTTACATTATTGTGTCTCACCCCCTAACCCCCTTTGGAATCGCGCCACCCGCCGTACCAAGGTGGTGACCCCCTTCTCGGGCTCTCGAAGCCTGTAAACAAAAACCATCGGGAATCGACGATTTGGGCCTCTGGGGCCTCTTGGGACTCTGAGAGGGCCTCAAGATGGCCTAAGATGGCATCAAGACGGCCCAAGACAGCCCCAAGACGGCCCTGGATGGTCCCAAGAGGGCAAGAGGGCCCGCGAGGCCCCCAAGACGGCTCAAGGGGGCCCCAAGAGGACTCGCAAGAGCGCCTCCAGGAGCCAAAATCATTGATGTTCCGTTGGTTCTTGATAGATTTTAGCGTTCTCGCCTTTTTCGGCTCTCAGAGGACCACGACGGCCCAAGCAGCCTCCGAGAAGACCTCGAGACGGTCAACGAGGCCCCCAAAGGGGCCCCAGGATTGCTCAAGAGGGCCCCAAGACGGCCAAAAGATGCCCCCAAGACGGTCCAAGGGGCCCCCAAGACGGCCCAAGGGGACTCCAATAGAGCCCCAAGGCGGCCGCGAAAGGCCTCCAAGATGGCCTCCGAAGGGGCCAGACGGCGCAAGAGCGCCCCAAGCCGGCGCAAGACGTCAACAAGAAGCCCCAAGAGGCCCCAAAGCGGCCCCAAAGACGCCCCAAGAAGCCCCCACGAGGCTTTCAAGAGGTTGCCAGGAGCCCCCCATGAGGCCGCCCAGAAGCCTTGGGGATTGCAGGACGGAGCGGCACGCACGCGCGGCAGCCGAGCAGGTCACGCCAACCAACGCCCACACCTTCCACATTTGAACACTTTTCCACAGCGGCGATTACGGCCGCGAGAGGCCCCAGACCGGCCTCGAGAGACGGGCCTCTGAATGGGCCAAACGCCGCAAGAGCGCCCCAAGACGCCCCCAAGAGGCCCCAAGAGGCCCCAGAGAAGCCCAATGCAGAAGAGGCCCCAAGAAGCCCCAAGACACCTCCAAGAGGCCACAAAGAAGCTCCCAAGAGAACCCGCAACGACTGGACTGTACGTGCCCTGGACGTGCACCCCGCGAAGCGGGAGGAATCATAGATTGTGGCAAAGCCATAAAACGAAATGCCCGGCCCGCCCTATCGACACGTCTCGGGGTGCGACAGGGAGGATATATTAAGGAAAAGGGGATGGAAAAAAGAGAAGGAGAGAGGAGGAGAGAGGAGGAGGAGGAGGAGGAGGAGGAGGAGGAGGAGGAGGAGGAGGAGGGGAGGGAGGAGGAAGAGGAGGGAGTGGCGCAGAGGGATACAGAGAAGAAAGGTGGGGGAGGAGCAAGAAGGAGGAGAGGGAGAGTGAGAGAGAATTACAGAAGAGGAGAAATGAGAAGGAGGAAGAGGAGGAGAGTGGAGGAGATATAAACAGCGAGGACGATGAGGAGGAAAGAAGGAGAGAGGAGGAGAGAGGAGCAGAGAGGAGAGAAGAGAAGGAAGAGGAAAAGGACGAGAAGGAGAGGGAGAGTAGGAGAGGAGAGAGGAGGGAAGAGGAGGAGTAAAAACTTGGAGAGAGGAGTGGGGAGGAGTGGGGAGGAGAGAGGAGGAGAAGAAGGAACAGGCGAAGGAAGATAGGGAAGAGAAGGCGACGGAGAAGAAGGGAGGAGGGGGAGGAGAGAGGAGGAGGAGGAGGAAAGGGAGGCGGAAGGAGATGGACGAACAAAAAAGGTGAGGAGAAAGGAGGACCAGGAGGAGAGGGAGAGAGCTGCAGGAGACAGGAGAGGAGGGAGGAGGAGAGGGATGAAGAGCGTCGTTGCCAAAAGGAGCCTCGCCTCAAGATCGGCACGGCGCTGCCAGGCTGCGAGGGGGCGGACAGAGGTCCAGCGCCGCCTCGCACGACAGGCGAAACGATACACATGCTGAAGTGGCGCCCTGTCGTCGCTGGGCCTTCGCAGAACGCGCTGCAAAAGACGTGCCCGATCCATGGGAGCTTCTCGGAAATCATAACTCGCACCTCGCTGGAACAACACATCCACGCAACACTACGCAACACCGCGCAACACCGCACTACACCGCAACACCGCGCAACGCCACATTACACCGCACAACACCGCGCAACGTCACGCAAAAACCGCACCCTTCACTGAGCGGGATTGCGCAGTGTTTCCACGCCACTTCCCAGAGGCTCATATGGACCTGGCGCGTAACAAAAACCACACGCGTGATTCTCGATTCCATCGCTCTCACGCCAGAGGCGAGACAAGCAGGACAAGACAGCGGCACGTGGCCCTCTGAACTCGTCCACGGAGCGGCCCCTAGAATCTGGCCTGATCGACATAATCAAACCGCTCCAGAACGGCCCCGCCATGGGCGTGACAGAGCATCGCCCGCCAAGCAGTCGCCATGAGGGCAACGCACAATTATAGGACGGTTAGAAACAATGCTGGTACACAGTCGGACAATGGCAATGATGACTGATGGCGCTTTTGATTATGTTCATCCCACCTGATTTTCCAAATTATCCTCCTCCTCCTGCTCCTCCCTCCTCCTCCTCCTCCTCCTCATCACCATCAGCATCATCATTATCACCATCATCATCCTCATCATCATCATCATCATCATCAGCTGCAGCAGCAGCAGAAGCACCCCTCTCCCTCTTCATCCTCCTCCTCCTCCTCGTCCTCCTTCTCCTCCTCCTTCTCCTCCTCCTCCTCCTCTACCTCCTCTTCCTCCTCCCCCCTCCCTCCTCCTCCTCTTCCTCCTCCTCCTTTTCCCCTCCCTCATCCTCTATCCTTCGTTACTTTCTCCTTTTCCTCCCTCCTCCTCCTCCTCGTCCTGTCCATCCTCCTCTCTCCACGTCCTCCCCCTCCATCCCTTTTCTCATAACTACCTCCTCCCTGTCACCCGGCGGGCTGGGCGCTTCGCCTGAGACTTCCTCAGCATCTGATGATCCTGAAACTTGTAATTCACAACAGCTTCAAGGACGGCAGGTGGTTTTCGAAATGTGGACCTCGCCTTCGCGCCGCGCACTCTCGTCGAAAAAATGCAACAGCTAAGGATAGAGGTCAGGCCGTGTCCAAAAGGTGGCCCTCGCTTTAGCGCCGCGCAAATTCGTCTTGAGCAGTTGCCGTTCTCGCTCTAGCGCCGCGCACATTCGGCTTAACACTCTGCAAGGTAGTTAAGATGAAGGGCGCTTATATTTCAAGATGTGGCTCTCGCCTCCGCGCAGTGCACATTGGTTTTGGAAATGTGAAGCAGTATCGAGCATCCGCATGGTCGAAGTCCCAGGAATTTTGTTCTGGCAAGACCTAAACTTGTCAGGACGACACAGTCATGCGGATTCGCAGTTTGAAATATAATCCCCCCAAATATGTTCTGACACGACTTCGGACTGTCAGAACGCAATTATCACGTTGACGCGCGACGCTGAAGACCCAGGAATGGTGTGTTGGCACGGTTGAAGATTCTCAGACGGCTGTTTGTTGGTGCATTTCCCGCAGACGGACCCTGGAGGGAAGGTTAAGTACATCATCGTTGATGTTTCTTGGGTTTACACCTCTCCACTTCCTCCTCCGTTTTTTCCTCTTCCTCCATCCTCCTCCTCCCCCTCCTCCTCCAATGTTTTCCTTTTCCTCCTGTTCGTCCGCCTCCTCCTTCTCCTCCTCCTCCTCCTCCTCATCCGTTTCCCGCCCAATCCCCGCAGCCATTTTGGCTCAAGACGCAATTGCAGTCGGACCGAAGCAAGAAGAACATCCCACAAGAAGATGAGACCCTCCGCTGGCCAAACCACACAGAACGTGAAAGGTCATCCAACAAACACGAATAAGATTTGTAGTTTTCTCTGGCTGGGGCAGTACATCCTTCTTTTCGGCGGCACAATACAGCGGGCCGACGAGGCCAAGCAACACACGGAAATAAATCTCAAAGCTGGCCAGCTCCACCCAGAAAGGTGGGGATTGGAAAAAAAGAAAAATCAAATGAACAAGCGAAGCGCGTGCAGAGAGAGAGAGAGAGAGAAGCTGGGGGCTGTCGGGAAATTGATGGGGGGTGCAGGACGAGCTTGAGCATACACATTTACGATACACATCGCGAGAGTGCTGGGTGCGCCACAATCGCCAGAAAACAAATCATTACCGCGCACGCACAAACATGATGTCTGTATCTGGCTGGGGCAAGAAATCCTTCTGTTCGACGGCAGAATACAGTGGGCCGATGAGGCCAAGCAACAGACGGAGAATAATCTCAAAGCTGGCCAGCTCCACCCAAACCCAAAATCTGCGACCTGCGCAAGCAATTGCAACGGAGCTGGCTGTCGAAAACCGAGGCCAGGAAAAAGGCGAATTTCGGGGGGTAGGCTTGGGCAAGAAGCGTGCGTCATGGTCCGCCTGGGACCTTCCCACTGAGCCGGTCGCGGGGCCTCTCCGAACGACTGCAGACGCACGCCCGAGGACGACAGCGGACGCCACCAGCTTCGCACAGGTCCCTGTCGAAGAACGCTAACCAAATAGTAGCTGGTTTCTTCCAAGGGGTCCCCCCATTGACACATATCACATCCGTAACCACCATGGTGTTATTTCTGTTCGTCGTTAGGTGCATTACTTCTGGTAGCTTCCAAAAGAGGCTGGTCTGCCGGTTCTCAGTCGCGAACGGGATCCACTTCCTCCAGCACAAACGGATGACCTTCAGCGTGGCTCTCGCAATCACATTAGCGTCGATCAGACGCGGGTGATCGGTTCCGGGGAGGCCCCAGGGATGTTCAGCTGTTCGAAGGGCTGGACGACGAGCGATGCCGAAGGTCGTGCAGGGCGGGGCCGGCATCAAAACAATCGAAGAGGTTCACTCGAAGACTTCTCAAAAGCCGCTCCAAGAGGGCCTCCTTTGCGATGTCAAAGGCAAGTTCATTCTTGATATCACAGATCTCTGCGCTGTGCCCGACGCCTACGAACGATTTGGATACACGAACCACTCCAGAGAAAAGATATAGCATCACCAAGAACCTGGCACGGCAAGCTCCAGATTAGCCTCGCTCCATTGCATTTCTCGTCTTATGTCCGGCCGCAGCTTGCTTCTCGCACCTGGCGGCGCTGCGACGGGGGCCCCAGCGACCTCTTTCACGCACCTCGGCGAGCGACCTGCGGCCCACGGAAACGTCCCACGACGCCCCCGCGCGCCTCACGGAGCACGGCACCAGGCCGTCCACGCCGAGGGCCGCGGCCGCGTGGCGGAGCTCCCTGGCCAGGTCGCCGCAGTCGAAGGTCCAAACCTTGGCGTCGCCTGCTGCGCGCCACATCTCGAAGCAGCGCGTCATCTACTGCTGCTCGGGGACACCCCAGCGCACAGAGTCGTCGAAGTCCCTGGTCTTGGCGGGGATCCCGAGCTCCCTCGGGCGGACGAGCACAGCCCGCGCACGGGGAGGCCGCGAGTGGCCCGGGCAGAGCCTCTGCCACCCCACGAGGGCACGCCGCGCCCGCGGAAGCTGCCGCTCTCCGCGGCGGCCCAGCGTCGGCAGGAAGGCCTCCAGCGCGGCCAGCAGGTAGCTCCCGCGGTGGCTGGCGGGGCCTTCCAGGAACATCTCCTCGAGGTGGGCGACGATGAAGGCGTCCAGGTCCTCGTCGGCCAGGTCGGTCCACCTCGCGGATCCGCCGAGCCCCTGGAACTTCCCCACGCGCTCCGCGCAACGCCGGCGCGCGCACTCGGCCACGGCCCCCCCCGACTAGGAAGTTCTCGTCGGATTCGAGGCCCTCGGCGAAGCACATTTGCCAGCGGCCCAGCTCGGCTGCGCGCGCCCGCCGAGCTGCAGGCGACTGGCTCAGCTGCGAACCCGCGGCCTCGCAGCCCCCGCCGAAGGCGCCAGCTCTTCTCGGCGGGAGCTCGCGCGGGGCGACGAGGCCAAGCAGCGGGCGGAAGGCCGCTGGCCTGGCGGGGCTGCCGGCTTCGGCGCCACCAGTCGCCCCGCGGGCGCCACCTCCACCAGCGCGAGAGAACTGGGCGTCAGCCGCCATGTCTCTCGCTGGCCGCCCCCGTTCGAACACCCTGCTGGCGACGTCCGCCGGGGTGAATTCCGATGGGGTCCCGTGGTCAGCGGCGACGAGCCGCCGGCTCAGCTGGAGGGCGCGCCGCCTCCTGCACGGCGCGAGAGGCTGCCGGCTGGTGGCGCGACGCCAAGTAGAAGGACCCCGGTTGCTCGCCCCATCCGCGCCTTGCAGAAACGTCTCAGGCACCACAGAGAGGCACGACATTCCCTCACGCGAATCGGTTCAGGCCTCCGAACCCCCGGACTCCTGAATCCACGCGCCCGGGACGCCCTGGAAACCTGGATCCTCCTCCCAGGGCTCGCACCCCGAAGCGGCTGCCCCGAGCGCAGTGACTGAGTCAGAGAAAGGGTCCAGGACAGCTTTGCCCACAGCCCGTTCACGGTGACCCCCAAGACCAGCGCATCTGAATCCGAAGCGCCCCGCCAAACCCCCACGTGCTGCGCCCTCGTCTCCTGCTACTCCGTCTGCGCCAATCCCATTCCAGAGGCGCGCGCGCCGTAGGCAAAGACTCTAGGGCGCCACGGCAGACGTAGCTCGGCCACACACAAGGGTAACAAACGACAGGCGGCTTCCACCTCGGCGACGACACTCGGCCACAAGGTTCGCTCAAACTGATAGCAACAGCGGATGAGACAATAGGTAGCCCCAAAGACCGACAACAGCGGACGACGTATCAGGAAAGCGAAGGCAAGGTGTCCCACGAGCATTTCCAACTGCGCACCACCCAATCTCTTTCTGCACAGAGCCCACGGAAGAGCTCCACGTAGGCGACTGCATCGCCTCTCACTCAAGCGTATCACACCCCAAGCCCAATTGATAACCACTCCAAGTTCCTCTTCCACGTGGGTAGACTCGGTAAGCTCGTGCGTCATCGACCGACATCGCCAAGGGCCCTGGTCGCGGCCCCCCGGACCTTCTGGACCTTGTCCGCCTTCAAACCCAGGACGCCAACGCTGTCGACACACACGTAATGTGCCAGGTTCATCCCAGTGGAGCCAAGCACAGCATTGCACGAGCAGTTCTCGAGGGCATTCACGGGGCTCAGGCAAGGCACCTTATACACGGTGTTTTGCACGGCCCCCTGCGCGAGGAATAAGCCCCACGTGAACCCCATTGGTAATATACTGAGGCATGGATACACAAACTCGCCCAGGGCCACTGAGGCCCCCTCCACCAGTTCGACACCCAGCACCCCAGCTTCAATCGGAGGGAGACCAACAATTCGCACAGAGGGCCGTCGATCCTTAGCCAATGGAAACAAGTGGAGACATCCCCCTTGGATGTGTACAAAAGAATCTTTAGGTCCCACCTCGACGCCGGGAAAGTTCTCGACCGTCGACAGCGCCTTTCCGGGGGGGGGCTGAATTCTTGA